TCTCACTCATCTTTGCCTCCAAACTATCTTGTTGGAAGGAAGATCACTTTCAGAATTCTCAGAGGCAAATTCTCAACCAATGAATCAAAGATGGCAACAACTATGTTGTTTCATCAGTAAAGAACAAAGAAAGCAGTTGGGAAGACCTGGAAGGAAAACTCATCAATTCCTGTGGTTTAGACTGGTGCTATGTTTCCATGATATATTTTTTGTTTTTTTCCCCACCCTCACTGACCATTCCTTGTCTGCATTTGTGTCTTAATGTGTATATCTGTGAAGCAGGAATTTAAGAAATGATAAAGTTTTACAGTTGTAAGTAAGCAAGTAGAGTTACTTTGCTACCATTGGTTAGAAACCTGTCTGCAATAAACACCTGTTTTCTTGTTACCTACAGAAATCTGATGAGTGTTTTATTCTGAGTTTGGATAGTTTGATTTTTTTTACACTTGATGGTTTTGGTAATTGTGAGGTTTGATTTCCAATGTTGTGCCCCAGTGAGTCATTCCACTGGCAATTCACTGTTTGTTTCTAAATAATAGCAGCAAAGAGTTTGATGACAATCCATATTTAATTCCTTCTCAAGGGAAAATAAAAGTGTTGTGCATATTCTTTTAACCTGAATTAGAAAATTAAGTTGGGCAATTTGGTAGTTTAATCAAATTTTCACATTTTATGATGATTCTGGGAATAGTGCAACTTGATTTCCAGCTCACTGTTCGTGGGTTGTGACAACTGAAATAAATCTTTCTCTTAAGAGCTTTCATCCCACTGAAGTTTCAACCTTATGCACATACAACAATCCGCTCTGAAAATTTTGTTCACATTCTTACAGCTGACAAATAGATTTTTGGTGCAATTTACCTCCAATGTTAAGAAATCCCCTGAACAAAAATCCTGTCCAGATCGATATCTTCACCAGAAATGAATCATTTCTTTATTGAGCTGTATGTTATCCTTTTTACCAAATCTCATTGAAATTTAATTAGTTTTTGAGAGATTTGTTTTCAAATAGAGGTGAAAGTGCTTCCTCAACCACCTTCAGTGGTGCAGATTAATTCTAATTTTCAACAGGAAGTTGGATATGTACACAAAGAAATATTTGTTGAACTGAAGAGTGACAGACATACAATGGGCTGAAGTACTACCCTCTGGTGTGTATGATTCTTGTGTCTGAACTACTTTTGTAGGAAAATAGGAGTAGGCTGTAGTGATTGTAAAAAAGCCAATGATCTGGAGATCATAGAATATGAGTTCTCTGATTGGGGCTGTTAATCTGATCCAATGAAGGAGCCTTGGCTGACAAAAACTGATTTCTAAATAAAGGATGACTTGGTGATGGAATAGTTGCCTCTGTACAATCGTTTCATTGGCTATTCATGTAGAAGGATATAAATCTTGCTGACCGGCCAGCATTTATTGCCCATCCAAAATTGCTCTCGAGAAGGTGGCAGTGAGCTGCTGCCTTGAACACTGCAGTCCATTTGGTGTAGATCCTCCCAAATAGCATTGTGGTTGAGAGTTCTAGGATTTTTATCCAGTGACACTGAAGGAACAGTGACATATTGCCATTGTAAGAATGGTGAATAGCTTGGAGGGGTCCTTGCAAGTGGTGATGTTCCCATGTTTCTGCGGCCCTTGATCTTCCGGATGGAAGTGATCATGGGTGTGGAAAGTGCTGAGTAAGGAGCCTTGGTCTAGTATATCTTGTACATGGTACATACTTCTGCTACCTACTGCTGCTACCTAGTGTCAATGGTGAAAAGTATCAATAGTTGTGGATGTGGTGCCATGCAAGTGGATTTGCTATTGAGTGAAGTTTCTTGAGCATTGTTGGAGCTGCACTCATCCAAGCAAGTGGCAAGTAATCCATTCCATTCCTGACTTGTGCCTTGTAGATGGTGGAGAGGCTTCAGGGAGGCAAGGGATGAGTTACTTTCTATACGATTCCAAGCTTCTGACATGCTCTTGTAGCCATTGTGTTTATATTTAACTAGTCCAGTTCAATTTCTGGTCAACAGTTAACTCTAAGAATGTTCATAATGGGGAATTCAGTAATGACAATGCTATTAAATGTCAAGAGGTAATGGTTAGATTCTCTCTTGTCAACTGCCATTGACTGGCGATTATGTACTGTGAACGTAACTTAGACTTCCCCTCCACGCCTGGAATATTGGCCAGGTCTTGCTGCATTTGGCATAGTGTGCTTTAGTATCTGAGGAATGGTGCTGACTATTGTGCAATAATAAGTGGATAGACCCACTTTTGACCTTATATTGAAGGGAAGGTCATCGAAGCAGCTGAAGATTGATTAAGGGTCTGCTGTTCCAACAAAGCACAAAAGCTTGAGGAACACCACTGAATTTTCCATTCGGGCATTTTCCAGCTTCGGGGTCTCAATTTTGAATTCAATTTCAGAAACTGACTCCATTTTGCTTGTTCTCTGTTTCAGCCATGAGGAGAAATTGAATCAGCTTGACTTTCTTTGGATAAGTAAAGGTGATTTGGCAGATGCTTTTGAAGGACAATTAAGATTATTTGAAACTTGATAGAGACATATTTACAAAAAAATGCTAGCAGACATCAACAAGTGAGACAGTCTCACATAAAAGAAAAATTAACATGTTGGGAGAACTGTTAATTATTCAACTGCAGCATCTATTTAAAATTATGTACAAAGGAAATTAAATGCATTCATTACTAACAGAGTTAAAGGTCTACAATTCTGTATCTAATAATGACAGAAGTAGTACAAAGCACAATCTATACACAAAAAATGACAAACGGGAATACAATCAAAATTTATGCTCAAGCAATTTGTATCAAAAAGTCTCCAAACCAATTTTTATTAGCTATCCTACACATTTGTTAGATTTCAAAGTAATTCCTATATGTCCAGGCCAAGGAGAAATCACAATGAGTATGTTTGTATAAAATAGCAGTGAGTTAGAGGTAAATGCAAATCTACAAGGCAAAGGCAGTGTGACTACCGAATGGACTTAAACATGCCCATCGTGCTCTACGATGCCAAATGCAAATTACAATGTGACTGACAGAACATTGTGATAAATCACCGAACACTTACTCACCTAGAGTCATAGGGATGTACAGCCCGGAAACAGACCCTTCGGCTCAACTCATCCATGCTGACCAGATATCCTAAATTAATCTTATCCCATTGCCAGCAATTGGCCATATCCTGTGAAACCCTTCCTATTCACATACCCATCCAGATGCCTCTTTAATGTTGTAATTGTACCAGCCTCCACCATGTCTTCTGGCAGTTCATTCCATACTTGCACCACCCTCTGTGTGAAAAAGTTGCCCCTTAGGTCCCTTTTAAGTCTTTCCCCTCTCCTCTTAAACCTATGCCCTCTAGTTTTGGTCTCCTCTACTCTGGGGAAAAGACCTTGCCTATTCACCTTATCCATGCCTTTAATGATTTTTATGAAACTCTATAAAATCACCACAAAGGCTCCGATGCTCCAGGAAAAATAACTCCAGCCTATGCAGCCTCTCCCTACAGCTCAAACCCTCCAATCCTGGCAACGTCCTTGTAAATCTTTTCTAAGCCCTTTCAAGTTTAACAACATTTTCCCTATATATAAAAATAAAACAAAAGGACTGTGGCTGCTATAAATCAGAGGCAAAAGTAGCAATTGCTGGAAAAGCTCAGCCAGTCTGGCAACATCTATGGAGACAAATCAGGGTTAACTACTGAGGAAGGGTCACTCGATCCAAAAGTTAACTTTGATTTCTCTCCACAGATGCAGCCAGACCTGCTGAGCTTTTCCAGCAATTTCATAATCTTTCCTTTAGCAGGGAGGCAAGAATTGGATGCAGTATTCCAAAAGGGGCCTAACCAATGTCCTATACAGCCTCAACATGACCTCCCAACCCCTATACTCAATGCACTGACCAATAAAGGCAAGTGTACCAAATGCCTTCTTCACTACCCTATCTACCTGCAACTCCACTTCCAAGGAACTATGAACCTGCACTCCAATGTCTCTTTGCTCAGCAACACTCCCCAGAACCTTACCATTAAGTTGGGTTAGGCCATGTGTATAGTGGTTTCACTGCCACCAATAATCTGGAATGCACTGTCTGAATGGGTGGTGGGAAGAGTTTCAAGGGAATTAAATAAATACTTGAAAAGGGAACAGATGCAGGTGTATGGGAAAATAAATGGGAAGTGGGATTCATTGATTACATCTTTGAAGGAGCCAGCAAAGCATGATGGCCCAATAGTATCATGCAGCATGGCAAGTTTATGAATTTATTTTTTCCTTTGGTTGGGTAATCAAAAATCAGCGGCAATACCATTCAGTTTGGTACAACATTCCAAGGCACTTCATTAATCAAACTGATCTTGTAAGATAGCTGTGACTTCAGTGGAAATCTCAAATCTGTTATGTTGTCCTTTCTCTAATTTCTGTTGCCTTTGAAGTTATGCAGAGTGATAAGGAACCACTTGTGAAAATGAGATTTTTAAATAAATGATTGAAATTCCGATATGAAGGATTGAAATCTCAAACACATACGAACAGAAATTGTTGAAGAAATTTAGCAGAATCTCTGCGGGGTCACTGTACTCGAAACGTTAACTGTTATCTCTCCACAGATATTGCCAGATCTGTTGAGTTTCTCTGGCAATTTTTGTTTGTGCACGCGTTCGGATCTCTAGCATTCGCATTTCTTTACTTTACTAAATCTAAGTTGTGAGAGAGAAACATAGGTATTACACTGACCTGCTAAATTAGCAGTGTTCTTTGCACAGAAAAATAGCTATAGTTCAAAACACTGAAAAAAGCACTTGTGAAAAGGCAAATTGATGCCTGCATTGAAGAACACAGGGTCAAAATCTTCAAAAAGAATCAGGAGTGAATGAAATGGGGAAAAATAAGTATTAGCAAGCCCTTTCTTTAGCTTCCTGTACAGTCCCCATAATAAACACAAGATTATTTTGTAAACAAGAATGCTATTTTACAAAGCAAAGCTTCTTGGCAGTTGAATTTAAAGGTCTTAGAGAAACTTTATTAAAGCAAATTAGTTTCTTTCAAGAGTTGTTTTATGTCCTTAATCCTCACAAAATTGGTATATAGATATAACTAGTTTACATACTATTCCAATGTCACATTATGAACTAGAGTACTGTTGCCAGATTAGGCAGATAGATGTGCATTAGAAGGATTTTGTTTTTTGGCAATGGCAGTGACACTAAACTATAGTACAGCTAGTGTTTACAGAAATAAATGCCCGACTATAAAACTCTATTAGTAAGAAATATCTGAAAAAGTGCATTTTCTATTAAATAACCAAATAACAATTATCATGGTCCAGAATAAGTGGTGTGTAAATCATCTTTTGCCAGAACCCCACCAGCTGCTTGCCTGCTGTTTCATTACATTTTGCTTCTCCTGAGGACTAAAGTGCAACACTGTGAGAATAGCAGTTAATGTCTGCTGGCGCCCCAGGGCATCTGGCATGGTTAGAAACCTGTATGTTACATTTTTTACATACTCTAGGTTTGCTCCTTCACGTTTCTTGTCTCTGAGATGTTTTTGTATCTCATCTTGAAGAACTTCTATTTCTTCTTTGTGTCGTTCCTTCTCCATCAGAAGTCTATCCTCCAGTTCATGAACCACAGCTTCTATTTGGTGTTTCTGTTTTCTCAGTGTTGTGACCTCAAGCTCCTTTCGAGCTAACTGTTCTGCATAGTGAAGAAAAGTGGGTTCATTGGATCCTGAAAAATTGGCTGTCTGTTTTAGAATATCTTGACAGAAATCTTGAGGGTGATCTGTATTCCGAGGAACTTCCCCATCAGACCAAAACCTGCTCTCAAGACCATTTCTATGATTAGGTAGCCCACTAAAGCCTGAACGTAGAGTTTCGGTGTCTCTATCTTTCTCAGCCAAGACTGCAAGAGCTCTGTCTCTATGTTTATGCATTTCTTCTTCCAGTTTAATAACTCTCTCGTGACACTGGCCCTCTAGCTTTTCTATTTCTTTCTTGTGAGTTGCTTGGAGTTGGCTGATGTCTAGATTCTTTGCTTCAATCTCAGCTTTGTGTTTGGTTTCCATTTCATCAAACGCTAGTCGCTGGGTAATATACTTCTCCTTCAGCTCTGCCAGCTGTTCGCGCAAACTCTCCAGCTCTTTGGTTGTACTGCCATCTTTGGCATTCTTGTTTTTGAGAACAACTTGAGCCCTCATCTTGTAGCGTTCAAACTCTTCCTTCAGCTGTTTCAACTCTTGTTGATAATAGAAAACGGAGGCCTTCTCACCATCTGATGTTTCAGGTGTATCTGCCATATCAACTTCACAAAGCTTCTCTACATCTAAGGGTTCCTGTGATTTCTGGATTGCCAATACCAATAGTCGCTTCAGCTTTTCCATTTTGTCTCTTAAAATATTAACATCAAGATTTGATTCATCTATTGTTAGATCTGAAGGGGCTCTATTGGAAGCAGCAATAGCCAATGTCTTGTTTTCCATATCCAACTGAATTATACGTTCCTTCAATTTGTAAATTGTCATTTTGTCTTTCTGTTTACTCTTGTCATATGTGCCAAGGAGATCTGAAAGCTCAGAGACTCTGCTTTCCAAATTTGCAACACGTTCTTCCTCCACTTGAGACAAGTGATGCAGCTGTTCCTGTGCCTGTGCAGCCTGAAGCACAGAGTGAAGGAAAATTGTGTTAACCATAAATGGATTCTACATTTTGAAACATTAGAAGGGATAAGAGATTACTATACATATATTTTTCTGCAGAAGTATAATGTCAGACTGTACATTAACATTTACTGATATTTGTGCACAATTTTACATTGTCAGTGTGTGTAATTCTCACAGCCAAAGTACTTCTTGTTTTCTGGTTGTCAAGAAAACAAAATTAAGGTAGATTTTGAACAATAAGCTTGGCAGACTGGAGGGGGATGGTAAAAGTCAAAATTAGAAGATAAATAAATACTCTAAATAGTAAAGAACAGGTGCTAATCCCTAGAGGAAGAGTTGTGATCAGGAAACAGATGTAAAATGGGGATAAAGAGCTCAAAGAAGATTATTGTAATGAGCAGCACAATGGATTGAGATGGATCTGAAAATACAGCTAAGAAAAACAAACTCATCAGTATTAGATAACAATGACAACTTCATTAACAGCGCTACATAACGTTAAGTAAAACATCCTAAAGGAATGTTATCAAATGAAGTTTAATATCAAACTACATCAGATAACCAAAAGCTTAGTCAAGAATGTAAGCTTTAAGGCACATCCTGAAGGAGGAGAGATCGAGTCAAAACAGTTTGGGGAGTGAAGTCCACAATTTAGGACTAAGGCAGGTCAACAGTGCATTACAAAGAAAAGGGTCCATGAAGTCAACTGAATTTGTGCAGAGATTGTAGGCCTGGAACTGTCTACAGGGATAGGGAAGGTCCAGGGCATGGAGGGATTTGAAAACATGGATGAGAACTGTAAAATCAAAGCATCGTCAGACGGGAGCAAGTGGTGCAAGTTTGGACATGGGCAACAGTAGTTTGGATGAGCCTTACAAAAGGTGCAAGGTGGGAGGCCTGCAGGAAGGCTGTTACATTTGAAAAGAGTCCAATACACAAGCAACATTAGTTACACTGAGAAAACTGCTAAGAGGTGGTGACTATAATGTCAGTTTTGATGCTCGATATCAAAGTAACAAGCTCAATCATTCCAGGGACATAGAAGATGACAAATTTTATCTTACTGACTCAGAAGGACAAGATTGTATAAACTCCTCGAATTACTGCTAAAAGAATGAACTCATCAGCAATTTAAGTTAAACTAACTGGAATTTGTCACGTCTGATAGATGGGCTATTCAGAGTTAGATGCTTCATATTTCCTCAGAAACTGAAGCAGTCCATGCCATCATGGAGCAGGACCTGGTAACATTCTGACATGGGCTATTCACTGGCAAGGAACACTTTCACCACATGTGCCAGGCAATGACAATCTCCAACACAAGAGAATCTAACCATCTTTTCATGACATTCAACATCCTAGGGGCTTGCCATGGAGCAGCAATTTAATTGGACTAACCCTATAAATACTATAACTACAAGATCAGAGATGAGGTTGGGAACACTTGCATGGAAGACTGCAGTGTCAACACTCAAGAAATCTAGCTCTTTTCAGGTCAATACATTCCATTCTTTCCCTTCATTGCAGACATAGTGGCAGCAGTGTGTACTGTCTACAAGAAATGCTGTAGCAACCCCAACAACGTGCCTGCAATGGCATCTTCTGAATCTGCAATCTCAATTAGAAAAAGAAGGGTTGTTGGTGCAAGAGAAGCAAATGGAACTAGTTTCGTTTGGGGAATCTGGTCGGCACTGACGAGTTGGACCAAAGGGTCTGTTTCTGTGCTGCAAGTTCTCCTCCAAGTCTCACACCATCCCAACAGAACACTTTGTATTCGACATTTCTCAAGGGAATTAAGGATGAACAATAAATGCTGGTCTTGCCAATGACATTACAACCCATGAAAAAATAAATGTGGGACAAACACAACAGTCAGAGGTATAATGCCATTCAAAATCATCAGCAAGAATGATGCCACAACTATCAGTAAAATTCTTTCAGCTATGCCTGAACTGGGAAAACACATTCTCAAGTAGTTCTGAAAACATTATAAATACTTTTTAAATATATGACATAGGAAGATGCAGTCTTAGAATCAGGACAGAGAAGGTCCATATCCATTTGCTGATGATGAGTTCATACTCTACCTTTTTCATTTCCAGTTGAAGCTGTGCTTGATAACGAGCCTTTGTCTCATTTATTTCTTCTTCCAATTCCTTTATACGTGGGTCTGGTCTTGTCTTCTCTTCTTCAGCAAGCCGTAATGCACACTTCACCTCATCTACTTCCCGACTCAGATGCTTCATTTGAGACTCACAGTCATCCACCCTGTCTGCTGCATGGCTTTTTGATGTCAACATATCTCTCGTATCTTCTAATTTCAGTTCTACATCTTGACGTATAGCTCTCTCTTCCTGCAACAACTTTTGAAGTTCATGGAGCATTGAGGCATGATCACTCTGTTCCCGGCTTCGTTCATGCTGCTGGGTAATGATGCGAGCTTTGGCCTCTGCGAGTTGTTCCTGGACTTTATTAATCTCTGCTTCATAGTTGGCATTTTCTTCTTCAAACTTTTGGGTCAAGACTTCTAGCTCCTGCCTCATTTTTTTTTTGTCTGTTAAATAGGATGCCTCCATGCGTGATTTCTCCTGTGTGACTGTAGCCAAAGAATTGGTCAGTGTTGCCAACTGACTCTTCAACTGCACAATTTTATCTGTGTCACTGAGGCTTTGCTGCTCACCACTTCCAACACTGATGCCGCTTTCTGAACCATTAGCTTCTTCAGATTTTGGGGAAGAGTTTCCTCCAGCCACATGTTCAACTGACCCTTTGTCCTCCTCATTCAATTCTCCTTTGGTGCTTGCTGCTGCATCCATACTATTCATTGTCCCCACACTGTCCTCACTATGAACTGAGCTTTGGTCATCTCCGGGTTCAGAGGTTGTACTTCCAGGACCTAAGTTCTGTAAACTTTTATCCACCTCTTGTGACACAGAGAGGACTTTCAAACTGGCCTCTAATGCCTCCTTTTCTTTGAGGAGGCTTTTGTAAGCACTGACAACATCTCGGAGACGTGTCTGGTATTGGAACAGTTGCTTCTTTTGTGTCTCAATTGTATCCAAAAGTTCTTTCTTACTGGGGCCACCAAAGTTCACACCAAACTTCTCCATTTCTGTTCAGAGAAGATCTCAAAGCAAGGAGCCCATCTGCAACAAGAAGGAAAATAAATTCAATAAATATCAATTCTTGCACCCTGTGATGTTTCGAATTAGCAAAGACTGGGCAGGTGAAACTTGACAAACACTTTCCATCTCTGTATGTCATAAGAAAGAAGTTATTTTGAGAATTAACTCAGACAGTAAAAGTCAGTGAAGAAAAGAAACTACGATATGACAAAAGGCATAGGAGCAGAAGTAGGTCATTCAGACCATTGATTTTGCTCTACCATTTAATGAGATTGTGGCTCATCTGATAATCCTCAACTCCACTTTCCTGCTTTTTTCCCCAATAATTTTTCATTCTCTTACAGATTAAAAATATGTTGGGCTTGAATATACTTAATGGCACAGCCTCAACAGTCCTCTGCGGAAAATTATTCCACATATTCATTACCCTGCAAGATAACACAGAAACAGGAGTAGGCCATTCAGCCCCTTGAACCTGTCTTGCCATTAAATGAGATCATGGCTGAATTCGATGGCCTTTGACCTATACCCCATAATAGCTTTGTTTAACAAAAATTTATCTCTGATTTAAAATTAACAATTGACCCAGCATCCACTGTCGTTTTTGGAACAGAGTTCCAAACATTTACCACTTTGTGTTTAGAAGTGCTTCCTAACGTCTCTCCTGAATGGTCTGGCCCTAATTCTCATACTATGCCTCCGAGTTCTAGAATCCCCAACGAGTGGAAAGAGTTTACCTTTATCTACCCTGTCTTTTCCTCTTAATATCTTGAAGACTTTAATCAGATCACCTCTTGGAGAAAATAGGCATAATTTATATCATCTCTCCTCATAATCTAACCCCTAAAGTCGAGGTATCTTTCTTGTAAACCTATGTTGTCCTGACAGAGCAGAACGCTGAAAGCTTGTGATTTCAAATAAACATTTGGACTACAACCTGGTATTGAGAGACTTTTGACCTTGCCCACCCAAGTCCAACACCGGCACCTCCACACTGTATTCACTCCGAAGTCAAAATATCTTTTCCAAGGTGCAGTGTCCAGAACTGATCACAGTACTCCAAGTGGGGTCTAGCCAGGATTTTTTTTTTTTTTTTTTAAATTACAGCATACCTTTTGCATCCTTATACTCCATTTGCTTTCTTGGTCATTTTCTGCACCTGTTCATAGCATTTTAAAGATCTATGCCCCAAACCTCCAATTTGTTTTGGGCATCCACTGTATTTATTCTCATACCATCTAGAAAATACCCTGATCTATCCCTTTTTGTTCGAAAATGGATAACTTACATTAAACTCTATCTGCCATAGCTTTGGCCATTCACCTAGTCTATTACCCTTTGTAATTTTATGCTATCTTCTACACTGTCTACAATGCTACGTAACTTCAGCTTGTGTACAGTTCTGGATATTACAGGATAGATGTGAACATATTGTAGAGACTGCAGAAGCAATTTACAAGAATGGTTCCAGGGATGAGAAACTTCAGTTATGATGATAGATTGAAGACGTTGAGACTATTCTCCTTGTTGGCTAAATCTATCACCATTCAGATGATAATTTGCCTGTTTTTGCTATCAAACTGGTTAATCTCACAGTTATCCACATTATACTTCATCCGACATGAATTTGCCCACTGATTCAACTTGTCCAAATCACACTGAAGCATCACTTCATTCCCCCACTACAGTTCATCACCTTCTCACCCAGGTTTGTGTCATTTGCAAACTTACAGATATTACATTTAGTTTCCACATACAATATCCTCAACTTTATTAATAGGGATATAAAGCACAAGGAGGTGATGCTGAATTGGTATAAGCCACTTATTCGATCTTAGCCAGCATATCATGTACCGTGCCACATGACCTGAGGGTGTCAATGCAGTGGAAAGGGTGCAAAAGTTGCAGAAGGTACAAAAATGGTACCAGGGATCAGAAACTTTAGTAAAGATGATAGATCGAAGAGGTTGAGACTGTTCTCCTTGGAGAGAAGGCGGCTAAGATAGGATTTGATATAGGTTTTCACAACCATAAACAGGTTGGATAGAGCAGATAGGGAAAAATTGTTCCTGCTTGGAAAAAGGAACAAAAACAAGAGGGTGCAGATTTAAAGTGATTTGCAAAAAAAAAAAAGCCAGGGTAACATGAGAGCTATTTTCTACTCAGCAAGCAGTTAGGATATGGAATATGTGGCCTGGAAGTGTGAGACAGGTTCAATTGAGGTATTCAAGAGGCCATTGGATAGCTATTTGAATAAAAATAATGTGCAACAATATGGGAAAAAGCAGGAGATTACCTCGTGCCAATTATGCTCACTTAATGAGCTAGTGCAGCTACAGAGGTCAAATAGCCTCCTCCTGCACTGTCACACTTCTGTGACTCTGTGATTCCACGATATTTCAGCTGCTGATACTTGTCAGCCATATAGACCTCTGCTTATCCATTGACGGATGTTAAAAATAGAACTATTGGCTGCTTGTATGCCTTATCACATCTCATCCAATTTTGATTTCACAATTACTGATGTAAGAAAGAGATTCCTTACAGCATAGGAAAAGGAATAGGCTAATTAGCCCCTCAAGTCTATTCCAGTAGTCCATGAGTTTGTTGATCTGTGATCTAGCTCCATAATCCCACCTTTGCTTCATAACCTTGATGTATTTCAATGAACAAAAATGTTTCAATCAAATTCAACATCAACTGCTGCTTGTAAAAAGTAGTTCCAAACTTCTACCACTCTACATGTAGGAGTTTTTTTCTTAAACCAGTCGTAAAATGGTTAACTTTAAATTTGGTCCCCAAATAGCGGACATAGTTTCTCTGCATGTACACTGCTGGATATCTTGAAAACCTCAGTAAATTATTCCTTTATCTTAAATTCAAGGCAAGCATTTTAAATTATTTTCTGTACTTGTACCTGATGTTATTCATCATAGAGTCCTAAATCTCTTTGGATTTCCACTATTTCTAACTTATCATCAATTTGAAAATATTGGGCCAATACTTTTAAGGTCCAAAGTAGACAAATTCATTGTTGTCTAAATTATTACATTGGCCACACTTTCTTGGCCTATTTAACGCTTGATTGTAATTGCTTACAATGCAGTCTACCTTTGTGCCATTGCTAAACTCTGATATGCTGGCCTGTAGTCTTTAGCACACTGGAAATCAAATCCTGCTATTGCCAGCATTGTCACACGAGTTAAAGATTTTTTAAAAAAAAAATTCCCCAAAATACCTGTCTTTTTAGACCCAGGTTGCCAGAGCAAGGAGGGGTTTCTGTATTTAGCAAGAATTTCTATTTATTTTAATAAATAAATTCTGGGTACAGATTAATAGTTATGAACAGTCAACAATGTAGCTACTAGTTAAAACCCCCTTATAAAACACCCCTTAGTCAGACAGAGAGGAAGAAAAACATGAGTTTCATGGCCGGACAAAAAGGCAGCTGAATGGTCACCTCCTGTCCACAGGGTTCAAGGAAATGATCCTTTTGGCTTGTCAAGTCCTGCTGCTCCTTGATCTTCCTTCTTCATGTACTTAAAGTTGCTCGTAGGAGGCATGGAGTGACTGGTTTGCACTTATGAAGTGTCGTACTTAGTGATTAAAAGCCATAGCTTACAGAAACTGATGAGGGGAAATAAAATAGCTTTCTTCAGGCTTGAAGTGACTTCTTTTAATTGCAAAGAACAGCTTTCTTTTCCAAGGTTTGACAACTTCTTCCTAAGCATTCCTATCCACAAAGTGTTCAACTAACTGACAGCCAATCACATAGTTGTTGGCATGCAGAAGGCCTTTGCTATCGATAATCGGTTATCATTCAACAACTCAGCTTGTTGCTGGCTGAATTTCATTTCGTACGCACTCACTGGTTCTAGCTGACCTGCAACTAAACCTCCCTTCACTGCTTAAATAAACAGCAGTGTAAACAGCACTCTCAATGAATGTTGGTAAGCTGATTTGGAAAACAAAAAGTGCAGTAATCCTCTACACAATCCTTGGTTTTTAAAACGACCCTTTTCCTATTTCACTCCACAATCGAACACATGGAAAATTAAAAAGTTATCTTTATTTTGATCAAGTTTGAGTCCCAATACAGATCCCAATGGATCTCAATAATCTACAGTCTCCTAAAGCAGGACTTTTCAAAAGGACTATGAATGGGGAGCAAAGTGTGAGGCACCCTTGCCAGTGGAGAGGATCACTGAGAATTTACTGGAAGGAACAGCAAGGTTTTTGAACTAGTCATTTATTTTTGAATAGCGTGTACATCTTTCAGTTTTCTACAGTTCATTGTACAACAGTAGTAAGCTGCTGTCTTTTTGTTTCCATGATGTAATTCTGATTCCCTAATATAGCTGGTACTTGTTGATCCACGTGCTGCTTTTTGCCTGCTCAGGTGACAGGTGGTGGGTATGCCACATATTCTTTAGTAAATAGATTACAGCACTAAGCGGTTAAGTATTGTTAATGGGGAGGCAGTGACATAATGGCAATGTTACTAGACTAGTTAGTCTGAGGATCTTGGGTTGGAATCCCACCATGACAGATGTTGACTTTTACATTCAACACTAGTTTGGAAATAAAAACTAGCCTAATGATGAACATATAATAGTTAATAAAAATCAAAAGAACTGCAGATACTGTAAATCAAGAACAAAAACAAAGTTGTTGGAAAAGCACAGCAGGTCTGGCAGCACCTGTGAAGGAAAAATCAAAGTTAACGTTTCGGGTCCGGTGACCCTTCCTCGGAACCCGAAACGTTAACTTTGTTTTTTCCTTCACAGATGCTGCCAGACCTGCTGAGCTTTTCCAGCAATTTTGTTTTTGTAATTATATAATAGTTGTTGCCCTAGCTTACAATAGGCAATTTAGATCAGGCTGGCACAACCTGCTACGGCCACATCCCATGAACAAGTAATTAAGAAAAGTCATAGACTAATGTAATCCAGATGGTGCAAAATCAGCCATTTGTTTCAGTTCCTATGAATTATCTGATTTCAAAAACTGGAGCCTGGCCTTGAAATGGTATTGCCTGCAGTATACACTGGGGGAGGCAATGGCCTAGTGGTATTATTGCTGGACTGTTAATCCAGAGACCCAGATAATGTTCTGGGACTCAGGTTCGAATCCCGCCACAGCAGATGGCAGAATTTGAATTCAATAAATATCTGGAATTAACAGTCTAATGATGGCCATGAATCCATTGCCTATTGTCGGAAAAACCCATCCGGTTGTCCTTTAGGGAAGGAAACTGTCATCCTTACCTGGTCTGGCCTACATGCGACTCCAGACCCACAGCAATCTGGTTGACTCTGGGCAATTAGGGATGGCAATAAATGCTGTCTAGCTCATCCCGTGAATGAATAAAGAAAAAAAAACTTTTCTCAAGATATGTTTCATTAGTTTGTAGAGCAAGTCACTATAATTTGCAGCTATCATCTATACTGTCTACAATGTCGCCTAACTTTGTATCATCAACAAATCTGCATATGACTTTCTATGCCATTAGTCAAGAAATTTCTCCTTATCTCTGTCTTAAATGTGTGACCTCTTGTTATGAAATAATGTTCTCTGGTCCTAGCCTCTCCTACAAGGGGAACATCCTTTCCACATCTACCCTGTCAAATCCTCTAAGAATCTTGTATATTGTAATAAGGTCTCCTACCATTCATCAAAATTCAAATGAATACAGGCCCAACCTCTGCTCATAAAACAGTCCCTCCACATCTGATATCAGCCTACTGAACCTTCTCTGGACTACCTGCAATGCCAGTATATCTTTCCTTAGGTAAGGGGTCCAAAACCGTTTACATTAATCCATCTGTGGTCTGACCAGTGGAGAAGGTTTACTGCATTCTCTTTGAAATAAAGGTCAACATTCTATTTACCTTCACACTTACACACTGAATTTGAATGCTAGCTTTTTATGATTCTTGGATAAGGATTCCCAAATCCCTTGTGTAGTCCTTCTGCAGTCTTTTTCAATTTAAATGATACTCTGGTCCTCTACTGTCCCTGCCAAAAGGGTATAATCTCACATATAATCTCACCCTGCAGACTCTGGGTCATCTTTTCCACTTGCTTTCCCACCTATTTTTCTGTCATCCATAAATTTTCCTCATTCAAGTCAATAAGATAGAAATAACATCTGCACTGATGGTATAATGGACAATAAAAAAATGTTATCTCAGAGTACAATGGGACCTTGATGAGATGGGCCGAGGAGAGGCAGATGAAGTTGAATTTAGATGAATATGAGGTGGTGCATTTTAGTAAGGCAAATTAGGGCAGGACTTATGCACTTATGTAGGGTGCTGGGAAGTGTTGCTGAACCAAAGAGACCTTGGGATGCAGGGTCATAGATCCTTGAAGGTGGAGTCACAGGTAGACAGGGTAGTGAAAAAGGCCTTTGGTACACTTGCCTTTGTTAGTCAGTCCATTGAGTATAAGAGTTGGGATACAGCTGTACAGGACATTGGTTCTGCCACTTTAGAATACTGCATTCAATTCTGGTCTCCCTACTATAGGAAAAATGTTATTAAACATGAAAAGGTGCAGAAAAGATTTGCAAGGATGTTGCAGGGGTTGGAGGGTTTGAGCCATAGGGAGAGACTGAATAGGCTGGGGGTTTTTTCCCTGGAGCATCAGAGGCTTAGGGTGAACTTACAGAGGTTTATGAAATCATTAGGAACATGGATAGGGGAATAGTCAAGGCTTCCCCCTCCCCCCACAACAGTAGGGTAGTCCAAAACTACAGGGGATACGTTTAAGGTGAGAGGGAAAAGATTTAAAACAGATCATAGGGACAACTTTTTCACACATGTATGGTATAAGCTGCCAGAGGAGGTGCAGGAGGCCATTACAATTACAACATTTAAAAGGCTTCTGAATAGGTACATGAAGAGGGGAAGGGTTTAGAGGGATACGGGCCATATTCTGGCAAATTGGACTAGATTAATTTAGGATATACAGTCAGCATGGACAAGTTAGATTGAAGGGTCTGTTTCCATGCTGTACAACTCTGTGGCTCTATTTACAAACTAGCTGCAGTGAATTTGGCTTTTGGTAGAGTCAGAGTAAGTCAGTTGACTGTACAATTTTGAACAGATCTATGAAGTACAGTTTCAATCTCTGCAGGATTTATCAGTGAAAACCAGCAGATATGGAATTTTCAGGAAGCATTTGATACAGTGACTATTACACAAGATTACGAACAATATACTCATACAGACGGACATTTGGTCAACAAACAAAAAAAATCCTGGGAACTTACTGTATGCGATTTTGCTGGTGCTTCCTACGTTGTTATTATGCACTTTAATTTTTGTAAAGCGCTTGGGAATGTTACGAAATGCGCTGTATAACGAAATACAAATTCTGACTATCTTCAAAAGTCACTTATTTCCGACGCCTGTCATGAACTCAGGATTTCTCGAAGTGTTCTGAAGACAATGAAGTACTTTTCGAGGTCGATTTATTGCTGTAGGGAACAATTTCTGTTTAACAAAGTCCCCAAAACAATAATTCGTAAAGTTCAGATATTAGGTTTAATACGACCCTAGGAAATGATGTTGTTTGAAGGATAAATAAGAATATTGTCCAGGACTAGGGCGGAGGAACCAGCTGCGTTTGTCGGGAATGCTCCTGACATCTTTCACAGCGCCTGACGGGGCCTCAGTGAAACCAGAGCCTCACTCAGGGAGAGCAGCGGACCCAGAGTCAACCATCACCCTCCGGCCTAACGCCGCACTCCAATCCGCTCCCCTCTCACCCAAGTAAAACGTCTTCGTATCGGGCATAAAGCGATTTCTCACCCAGACCCGCCTCCTCTCCGGGCTGACTGTCGCCTTCAATCCCAGAGCAAGCCGCTGAGGCCAGAAAACCTTTGCTGACGTCGCCAATGGAACAGGAAAGACGCCATCTTGGGAAGGTCACCCAGCTAAGGGTGAGGGGTCAGCTCAGTGACGCCATATACACTACAAGCCACTGATTGGTCGAACAGCCCAATGTAACGGTCAAGGTTTACATCACACGAGGCGGTTGACATCAATCCTTCCTCGTTGGCCGGAAATTGTTTGGAACGTCATCACGCAGGTACTTCTTGCTGCCGCTTCCGTTAGAAACCGGTAATCGCCGCGAACTCCCAGTTAGGATCTGCCAGACTGGAGCCATCAAGCCCAGACTCCGGCATCATCAGAGCCAGACTCTGTATCTGAGTCGTTAACGCCAAAGCCAGACTTCGGACCGGCAGATCCTGAGCACTAGCTCCTGATCCGCAACACTAGCCATCAAACCCCGGGCCCGTAACCGGAAACGCTGGGCGCTGAGCCCTGAGCCCTGAGGCCTCGAATCGTCGTGCCTTGACCCAGACGCCGAACTTCGATTCCGGGCCCACCCGCTCCTCTCCTGGAACCATGGGGATGACCCTGTCGAAGATATTTGACCGGCTATTTTCGAGGAAGCAGATGAGGATCCTGATGGGTAAGTGTCCTGTAACCGTGGGTTCAAGCCAAGGACTGTCGGATAACCGGCTGCAGTTCAATTAGAGTCATAAAGCTGTACAGCATGGAAACAGACTCTTCGGTCCAACTTGTTCATGCCGACCAGATATCCTAAATTAATCTAGTCTCATTTGTCAGCATTTGGCCCATATCCTTCTACACCCTTCCTATTCATATATCCATCCAGATGCCTTTTAAATGTTGTAATTGTACCAGCCTCCACCACTTCCTCTGGCAGTTCATTCCATGCACACATCACCCTCTGCATGGAAAAGTTGCCCCTTAGGTCCCTTGTAAATCTTTCCCCTCTCATTTTTAACCTCTGCCATCTAGTTTTGGACTCCCTTACACTGGCAAAAAGACCATGGCTATGCACCCTCATAATCATAACCTTGATAAGGTCGCCTCTCAGCCTCTGACGCTGCAGGGAAAATAGCCCCAGCCTATTCAGCGTCTCTGTATAGTTCAAATCCTCCAATCCTGGTAACTTCCTTGTAAAGGATCCAAAAAAAAGCAAGAAGCTGGAAAAGTGCAACAGGACCTGAAGAAGGATTCTGACCCAAAAAGGTGACGTTCCTGCTCCTTAGATGCTGTCTGAGCTGCTGTGCTTTTCCAACTCGTTTTTTCTTTAAACTCTAGCTTATAGCATCTGCAGTCCTTTCTATCTCCAACATTCGTGTAAAGCTTTTCTGAACCCTTTCAAGTTTCACAATATGAGACTGATATATATAATCCTGTTGCATTTGTAATGGGTTTGAAGGAAATGACTGATAATACTGAGGTTTGTAAGAAATTTCATACTGGGAGGGTGCTGTTGAATGTTTGGTTTGTGATCTGTCTTTATCTCTATAAATACTTATTTGGTTTTAATGTTTCTTTGGTAGATATAATCCTAGTGTTGGATTTAAACTGTAACATTCTTGGTTTTAGATTATTGTTTCTCTTCAGCCCTAAAAACAGTTTCTCTGAAATATCTGGGGAGTTCACGTGCCGAATCATAACTTGCCATCACCTTCTGGTCTGCCTATGCTGTTTCTCAGTCATTTACAATAAAAGCCATTCGAGCATTGTCATAGAACCCCAGCAGTGCAGATAGAGGCCATTCAGTCCATTGAGTCTGCACTGACCCCACACATCCCTGAAAACTACAGGGTAACCTAACATGGCCAGTGCACCATATCTGCACATCTTTGGACTGTGGGAGGAAACTGGATCATCTGGCAGAAACCCACGGAGACAGAAGGAGAAGTGCAAACTCCACACAGACATTTGCCCAAGGCTGGAATCAAACCCAAGTCCCTGGTGCTATGAGGCAGCTGTGCTAACCACTGAGTTTACGATGGCTGATTGATTAAAAGGATTTTTTAAAACCAATTTTCAAATTACTGTTTAAAATACTTCAGTTCATTCCAGATCATGAAGGAAAGCAGTCACCTCCTGTTGCATTGGATTCTTTTCACAGTTGCCTTAAATCTATTCTCAAATTATCAGCCTTTAGGCCACTGGAACAGTTTTACCCTATTAATTATAAAAATAATTCATAATATTTTAATCCCTTTGCTGAATCTCCCATTTTCTGGTCGAGAGAGAACAAGTTAATCTCTCCAATGTTTATATGTAATCAAAACCCCTCGTTCCAGCTATGATTTGACTGCATTCCTCCTGCACCTTCTCACGGTATCTGTAATTGGATGCCATACACCAACCAAGCACAGCTAGTTTTTTTTACAAAACATTTCTGTAGCTTCCTTGCCTCTGTCCTATTTCTGAACGCAATGATCCCCTGTGCCTTTCCATCAGAGTACTAAACTTGCCATACCACTATCAAAGACTTGTACCTACATCCTACATTTCTGATTCAGCTTGAAAGCTGCACCAATTTGCTCATTTTTTTCTTAAAGTTGTTAACTTCAGTCTTCTCTGTTAAATTGTATCTCCAATACAAAGACTCATTTCACCTGTTCGCATTCCTGAAACCTTTCTAATTAAAGTTACTGTTAAGTCCGTCATGTCTTACCAACTTGATAGAATTCTTTTGAGGAAGTGACAAAGTTGATAGATGAGGGAAGGGCTGTAGATGTCATATATGTGGACTTCAGTAAGGCATTTGATAAGGTTCCCCATGGTAGGCTGATGGAGAAAGTGAAGTCGCATGGGGTCCAGGGTGTACTAGCTAGATGGATAGAGAACTGGCTGGGCAACAGGAGACAGAGTTGTAGTGGAAGGGAGTTTCTCAAAATGGAGAACTGTGACCAGTGGTGTTCCACAGGGATCCGTGTTGGGACCACTGTTGTTTGTGATATGCATAAATGATCTGGAGGAAAGTATAGATGGTCTGATTAGCAAGTTTGCAGATGACACTAAGATTGGTGGAGTAGCAGATAGTGAAGGGGACTGTCGGAGAATGCAGCAGAATATAGATAGATTGGAGAGTTGGGCGGAGAAATGGCAGATGAAGTTCAATCCAGGCAAATGCGAGGTGATGCATTTTGGAAGATCCAATTCAAGAGCGAACTATACGGTAAATGGAAAAGCCCTGAGGAAAATTGATGCACAGAGAGATCTGGGTGTTCAGGTCCATTGTACCCTGAAGGTGGCAATGCAGGTGGATAGAGTGGTCAAGAAGGCATACGGCATGCTTTCATTCATTGGGTGGGGTATTGAGTACAAGAGTTGGCAGGTCATGTTGCAGTTGTATAGGACTTTGATTCGACCACATTTGGAATACTGCGTACAGTTCTGGTCACCACATTACCGAAAGGATGTGGATGCTTTGGAGAGGGTGCAGAGGAGGTTCACCAGGATGTTGTCTGGTATGGAGGGCGCTAGCTATGAAGAGAGGTTGAGTAGATTAGGATTATTTACATTAGAAAGACGGAGGTTGAGGGGGGACCTGATTGAGGTCTACAAAATCATGAGAGGTATAGACAGGGTGGAGAGCAAGAAGCTTTTTCCCAGAATGGGGAACTCAACTACTAGGGGTCACGATTTCAAGGTGAGAGGGGAAAAGTTTAAGGGAGATATGCATGGAAAGTTCTTTACGCAGAGGGTGGTGGGTGCCTGGAACGCGTTGCCAGCGGAGGTGGTAGAGGCAGGCACGATAGCATCATTTAAGATGTATCTAGACAGATACATGAATGGGCAGGTAGCAGAGGGATACAGATCCTTGGAAAATAGGCAACAGGTTTAGATAGAGGATCTGGATCAGCGCAGGCTTGGAGGGCCGAAGGGCCTGTTCCTGTGCTGTAATTTTCTTTGTTCTTTGTTCTTTGTTCCTTGTTCCTGGTTCCTGTCAGGTGGTGCATTCTATGTCCTACCCATCATTGTGTAAGAAAAGTTTATCCTTGTGTAATTTGATTGTTTGAACAATCATGTTAAATGAGTATCTTCTGATTATTTAGTTTTCTGTTGGATACAATTTCTGATTTGTGCTGAGAACTCGCCATGATTTTAACAGCTATATGGTTCACTAATGTCCTT